CTGTTTTCTTGTCTCTTTCTATCTGATTGCATATATATTTACGGTACACATTTACGATTTACGCCAAGTTTGATAATGCCTCTGTGGAGGGGGCTTTCCGGCGCTTTTGAGCGCTTTTGGGCGCTTTTGTGCGAAGTATGGCCAGGGCCTAATAGATGATAGTATATAATCAGCTCGTTTCCAAGTAGATCTCTTAGTACTCTGCTCTTTTTTCTTACACTGATAACCATTCCTATAGAAGAAACTGTCAAGATTATTATCTGAATTATTTATTCGATTTATTGAGGTTTGCTGTACGATTTTTGTTTGTAGAGTCGTTGCTTCACATCGCCGTCAATAGAGACAGCTTCGATATCGCGAAGTTCCTTCTGGAACATGGAGCCAACGTTGATGTCGAAGACAAGAATGTAAGTCAGATCAGCTTCATTGCGTTTGTTTTGTGCTTTTGAATTGGTTTGTTTTTGGATTCATGAGATTTCTGATTTGGATCTTGCTGCATCATTAGAATAATGCGAATCTTTGCACTATCGTTTATGTATGTCGCATAACTAATTCTTGAAAAAAAGTAGGCTGATTGTCCTGACTGCTTCATCCATATGTCATCCTAATCAGTTTGTTATATTCTTAGGGTGCTTCTCCACTAGAAGTTGCTGTACGTCAGAATAATGCAGGGATGGCCAGTCTCTTATTGGAGCATGGTGCTAGCGTGGACATCTCACAGCAGGGAAAGGATTCCATGCTTAAAACTGCCGTTTCTAAAGGTGCTCAGATGATCAAAGTTTTTGCTGAAAAAGCCAAAGGTGCGTTATCGACTTGAAATGTGCTCGGTAATAATTATCATGTTTCCAGGAATCGATTGGACAGCATCCAGAGTCCTCGAATATGCCCTTGATGAGAAAGCGCTGGATTGCGCAAAAATAATAATTGGAGGTAGCGATACATTGAGACCTTTGCTTTTCCGTTTCAGTTAGTGATTTACTTAGCATAATGGATTTCAGCCGGCGCTCAGATTGATGAGAAGAATTTGGATGGTAATACACTACTAATCCAGCGCATTCTCCATTCTGACGACGCAGGGGCTAGATTCCTTATAGAACAAGGAGCAACTCATCTTGCAAGGTGAGTACATACTTTTTGTTTACGTGAACTCCAGAGCTTTAACTCGAGCTCCTGCAGAGATTCAAATGGGCGAAGTTGTTTCGAATTAGCTGCGACTTTTGGTCTTCTTGATACCCTTCGTGTCATATGCGGTCTTGGAGTGAATATCAACGAGCGCACTGATGGCGGCCTTGGATATACGGTGCTAGAACGTGCACTTACTGAAGGTAATCAGAATATGTGGTAATGATTTGGCAGTATGTAGCTTGTTGATTTAGGTCACTACGACTGTGCCAAAATGCTCGTTTCGCTAGGATGTGATGTGGAGAGTGTCACTGCCGACAATTCGTATATACAGTCCGTGCTTCACCATTTCATTGATGCATGTGATGAAAAAGCGTCGGTCTTCCTTGTGCAAAAGTACGGGGCAAAAAAATTTAATCTTGATATCATCCAGTTTCCGTAGGTTACGTAAACGCTGGAAATTTTTCAGTGGTTGTAATGGCAATGCTACGAGAGTATCTCGTGATCCTGGCGAGGGTAGAGAAGAACCAGCCTTGCACAGAGCGGTATCATCGGGAATGAATAAACTGGTTGCAGCACTGGTGACGTCCAAAGTCAATCTAGTCCCTCAGGTGGCCTATTCTTTCTCGTTATCGTTTGTTTATATTTACATTTGCGTATTAGGATGCCCAAGGGCGTACAGCGTGTCACGTAGCGGTGCAAGAAAAGAATGCAGAGGCGCTTGCAGAGCTGTTGAAAGCAGCTGATGTCAGTTTCTTGTCTGTCCGTGATAAAGTGGGCCAGACTCCTTTTTCTTTGGCTGTCGTTATGAGAGAATATCCGGTTAGTTACATCCCTGAAGCTTGCAAGTTCTGCATGAGTTTTTTTTT